TGGACTAGCCCAGGGAGGGAGAGGCGGAGGAGGGTAGTAGTCTCAGGAGGCTGTTTGGCGTCTTGTGGTGTGAGCTCTTTGCGCTCTTTTTTGCGTGAGGATTTTTGAGCTTGGTGACCTCCCCAGCCCGGGAAGACTCGTCGGGCTCCCGGTCGCCCAAGTCCTGGTAGCGAGCTCTCTGAGATGCTCGGTTCGTTCGGTCGGCAGGAAGAGCCCCCCAGTTGCGACTTCGTTTATGTTAGGAGACCAACGGGCATAGATCCCGTCTAGTTGGAGCGCCAAACAAGCGCTGTTGCGTGCCGGCCGTCGTTTCCCGTGCGGCCTGACCCGGGGGCGGAGTGCATGAGACTAACCAGCCGTATGCACCCGCCCCCCGCGCTGTGCTTCGGCCCTGGGCCCCCGGCTTTTCAGCCCACAGTGTAATCAACGTCATACATACATACATACATACATACATACATACATACATACATACATACATACATACATACATACATACATACATACATACATACATACATACATACATACATACATACATACATGCATACATACATACATACATACTCGAGATGCTGGCGGTCGCGCTTAGCGCGTATTTGTAGAGGTTATGTGTGCCGTACTGTATACCAGCTACTACAGAATCCCATCCTTTCCGTGGAACTCCCAGAGCTGCGGAACCGAGGAACGAATGCGGCCCAAAAATCAACAACTCGATCAATGGCTCCTTCTGTAAGACATGGGTAACAGTGCCGGGTCGGTGTTCATGGCTGCAGCCATATATATCGCCGCCCGTGCTCCAAAGCTGACACCGCAGCAAGAGCCACAACATCTCAAACACATTGTTGCACTGTTTGTGGACCTTGGACAAGCCAAATGTAAAGATTTTTCGCGTGACACTGGCAATCCTATTGTCAGAGTAAGTTGGTCCGCTATTGCCTGTGCCCAGAAGTGATGACAGCGAGGGGACACACCTCCCAGGGAACCTACTGGCTCGAAGTGGCAACAGGTCGTCTACGTACAACTGCATTGCAACAGGGCCACCACCCACAACAGAAGAGCCAGCCTGAGGCGAACCGTAGCAGCAGTTGCGCTGGTCCATCTCATCGACCATGTCAGCCAGAAATTTGATTAAAAAAGCCCAAACAGCTCCGCACTCAGGGGCCAACCCTGTTTTACGCCTTGACGAGAGTCAAAAGGCTCTCTAACCACAGCATTTATTTTTCCATCGTCATGGAAACCTTCTCGTAAGATTGAAGTATGGCCCCCTGTCCCTCGAGATGTAACCACAGTAATTGACGTGGGACCTTATCAAACGCCTGTTCGACGTCTCTCTGGGCAATTATGAAGGGCTTTGTCCCCGGCCGCCGATGTACCTAAGTGCGGTGCCTTTTGACAAAGACATATGTGCGCACGCACCACTTTTAACTCAACAGTTCTGCTGGTGACTACCACCGCCCTCGTGATGCGCTTACTGCTTGCTATCCTTGGTGCTTACCTTGCTTACTTTTTACCATTGTGCCGTTTCCCCATTGTCTTACGTGTCGGCTGGCATTGGGCACTCCCTGTTGCCTGTAGCAACGAATAATAACAAACTACACACACGCGCTCATGCCCCACCCACATGCACATCGAACCGCAGACCGCACCTGCGTGGAAGAGGTGCCAAATGCCGTGCGCATTGCAACCTTCAACGGGGCTACGGTGTCACCGCTTTTCAGCTCCAAGACCTGGCAGAGGGAGACGTACGGCATGATGACGTTCCGCCGCCTGTCCGATGTTCTCCCCACAGGCCCCCCCTCCGGCGGTCTGTACATCTGCTTGGAGCTGAGTAGGGCCAGTCCTTGCGGCACACCGGCTGGGTTGTGCTATGGCCGCAGCAGCTGTGTCTTCGGAATGTCAAATGAGGATTTTACCTGTTGCGCCATCAGTCAAGTGCCGGCTGTCTGATGATGCCATTTTCATATATGTCATGGTCAATAATGCTTTATCTCATCTAAGTATTTATGCCTGCACGTGGATCGGCCTGCTCACTGTATTTGCGTGGTGAGCATATTCGTACGCAAGTGCGATTATGGATTCTAATACTTGTTTCTTGTTCGTGATGATTGTCCGCCCTGAAGGGCATATGAGTCTCCGTTTGCATAGTTCTGTACCTTCCGGCTTGCTGTTGCTCGTCCGTCTTACCTGTAATAGCGAAGTACGGTGCCGTACCTTAGCATAACCTAGCTATCATGTGTATATTGCTACAAAATGACGGAATCTAGGCGCTACACACGCGCTTATACACGCACGCACTGTGCTCATGCGCATTTCATACGTACCGTTGAGTTTTTAATGTTAATAACTGGCTAGCTCGTCCGTACGTCCATGGGTAGGGTGCGTTGGTCCGCCTGGCTTAAAACAGCGGCCAGCCACCCAGTGGTTTTTAAATAGCAAATAGGGGGGTCCTTGTGAAGCAGCTGGCCGCGTTTCCAAAGCACGTATGGTGTTGGATTGTAAGGTGCCCAAGTACGTTTGCGAGGAAGAGAATGTGGCCAGGCTGGAGAGGAAAGTGCAGTGGCATATTGGAATGTGAGATTAGCGTAAGCGAGTTACAGGGCGTTTTTATTTATTGCACGGGCGAATTTACGTGCAAATCTTTCACCGTAGCATCAGTCCTCAGTTCACTTCTTGGAACGAACATCAGCATAGGTGCAAGCCCTCTCGCTTGGAGGGATATGCAAACAAACATCCTGATAGGGGTAAACTCGCACGCTACCGAGCATTCAACCGAGCACATGCATGCTTAGTTGAATGGTGAGATGCGACCCCCCCTTCATTTCGTGCTCGGCAAGCCTGCCACCGCGTACCGGATATGTTGGCGATGTTACAGAACGCTGCACCTTGGTTTCTGTGCGCATTGCGTACATTGCTCGACCCCGCCGACCAAAACTACACGTGCCCAACTGAAGACATTCCCGGTGGTTGTGCAGCAGCTCTTGAGGCTGTTGCTGGCTGAAATCCATCCTGAGCTGTTGCAACACGGCTAACGCGGGCACGTCCTATGCACAGCAAATAGCTGTTCCAAGCCAACAGCGGCGTCCATGTCACCGACAAGGCTCTAAACGTCTTATCTGTTCTTATGTTTAATTAAGTTTATGTATGTTATACTTTGCGCAACTTTGTAATTTGACTTTACTCTGAACAAGGTGCTGCATACAACTGCCTCTTCGCCAGCGCTTCATCTTCCGCGGCAGTTTCACGAGCCCAGAGCTGCAAGCTACGACGTTGGCTTTCGGTGCTTTTATTTACTGCAAAGCATCCACGCAATAGTCCAGCGTGCGGCTATGGCCAACATGCTCACCTGCGCAACGCGCTGGCGCACCTGGTCCTCATCCGCCAAGAAATTTTATATACATTTGTACAGGCGCATTTTGCGAATCGCACGCGCGCATCTGCGCGGCAAAATTCGCTCCTGACTTTTGGGACGAGATGTACGGAGTCTCTATTCGCGAAGTACGACCGGACACATTTGTGCGAGAGGCTGCTTAAAAATTTCCTAGTGACCACCTTTCGGAAGGGAGTTATTTTCTCAGTTACCACTTGGTCACTAGTAACCACTTTCAAAAATGCCATAGCTACCTGTCACCTTTCCACAATTGCGTTTGCATGTATACGGGTGAGTGTGTGACAGCCGTGGTCATGATGGTGGTGGCGGTGGTGACGTGCACCATTTGTTGGTATGTACATATGGCGATGTGTGGTGAGGCGCTCATTGTGACACCCTTCTTACACTCATATGGCGGGATGTAAACCCTAACAGGCATAACGGTGATCTCACTTTTCACGGGCTTCCCCGGGTTGACCTCTTGTTGCTGGCTTTTTTGCTAGCTTAAGCGACAACATTTAGTCTTGCGAAGTCCCTCCCGCCGCCACGCAATCAGTTCCTTCGGCTCCCCAACCGGGAGAGTCAACAACACCCACCTAACTATAGGCCCATTCAGTCGTGCAGCCCTGCCACGACACGCTAGTCAGAAGTGCAGTGACAGCAGCGGAGCTGCGCCCTCAGCCACCCTCCTTGTCGTTGCGTCCTTGATGGATTCAGGTCTACGACCTGATTCAAAATGGTGAAAGTGGAATGCTGGGTGGGCTACTGGAATGACCAGGACAGGTGTTCTAAGGGATATCAAGTGAGAGATTACTTGGGGGGGACTTGGGGTGCCGCCGTACAGCTGCCGTACAAAACTTATTCTTGCATGTCTATCCCGCATATAAGCGGCAAAGTTTTAATACATGATCCCGAAATGCGCTCGGATCTACAAGCAAGGAGCCAGAGAGAAGAATGAAGCTGGGGCGGACACAGTTCTCCTGCGTGGTCGAGGGTGACTGCCCCGCGGTGTGCGAAAGGAAGGAAGAGCGGGTACAGGGGCCGAGACCGCCCGAGGCTATTACATGGGCAGAGGGGCAGACTCGCCGCCCCTGGCAAGGGTGTAGCCATGGCTTCCCACTTGATCTGACATATCGGACAAAAGCAGCACCCACATATGGCAGGGTCGCGCGTATGTCTGTCCAGTTGTGTGCAGCCGGGGAGCTGGGAGAAGGTCCTGTACGGCGTCAAATGGCAGCAGGACATAGAGCAGTGTGAGGCTGGATGTGTGGGCGACCGACCGGGGGGCCGTGCCGTCCTGCTAGCTGCGAGACACAGTGAGCCCCGGAGCGTCAAGGCTCCAGCCCTGATAGCGTAGACAGTCAAGCACCTCGGCGTCGACTACCACCTTAGGTTTCAGGCTTTCTCAAGGCTTCGAAGAGGAGACGGGGCGAGGACAGGTAGAGCAGCGGTCGGTTGCGTGTTTGGCCAACAGGCCGTGTAGGAAGTGCTGAAAAAGGAAGCGCCCGATGGTACGAGGGATACAAAAAAATCATGGAGATTCGCAAGAGAATCAGAAGGATTGCAGCTGGCGCCGAAGAGGACCTATTCAGAAGTGTGTGTGGAAAGGAAGATTTGAAGAAGACGCGGTACAGGGCATTCAGGCACATTCCATGGCAACAAGTAAAAGGGAAGGAAACAAGGAGGCAATCAGGCGCGAACACGGCACCCAGGTTCCCAGTCTCCCAGGTTCCCAGGTTCCCAGGAAACCGGGCAAGCAGGCACCCAACCTTTTCACAAGGCCATGGAAAGGAGAGGGAAGCCGGATTGTATTTTCTGGCCTGTGGGAAGGCGCAGCACGAATGAAGCAGACATGCATTGAAGCGATAACTGGAGGTACAATGCGTCCAGTCCTGGACGGTGGAACACTTGGGGTGGATGCTGTCCTCAAGCGCGACGGGAAGCTACGTTTGCCAGTCAGGTTTGAAACAACGGATAGCTTTTACGTATCTTGCGTGTCATGCACATGCCATGTTATTCGTGTGCGGGCAGAAGTACCGCTCGGTAGAGTTACGGAGGGTTGTTGCCCAGCTGATATGACACGCATATTCTGAGTATTGGGACCATGTAGTTGATGCAAAAATTCGTTCGGTGCTTTTGGCACATGTGCATGAACACGTTGGCGACCATGCGGTGCACCTTGTCTGAGGCTGGCTTAGCAGAGTAATGCCAGGACATTCTCACGACACCTGTATACGAAAGACATTGACTCCATTCCAAACGCACTTGTCAACAGTGTTCAGATCAGACCTTCCCCCCGGAGCGTGAGCTTGGGTTTCAGGCACCAGACCCCCTCCCGGGGGAGAAGGATGTGCGCCTATATCTGCACATTTCCTCCCCTTCTCCCCACACAACCCCCACACACACTCCACAAGCCCAATCCGCAGCAGGCTCGATTCCTGCCGTCACTGCCCCGCGGCTGCCGTACCCCCTGCCGTGCCGCCGCTGCTATTTGCACTTTCAATGCTGCTGCTCCCGCTGTCGCTGCCCACACTCCCTTTCGGGGCCCTCCTCCTTGCCGTCCTGGGTCGTAGCAGCGGCGATGGGGATGTCGACTGAGACGCAGGCGACAGGGAGGAAGCCGCCGCAGGAGATGACATACTCGACACCGCCGCCGGTGCCGGCGCCTTCACCGCCGCTGCAGCAGACACCGGAATTGCCGCCGCCGCTGCCGTCATCAACGCCCTTCGTATCTCTTCGCTGCTCATTACCAGCAATCCGGGCCGGGCTGCCAGCACCCTCGCCACCTCAGCATCACAGTCAAATTCCTCATCTGTTCCCAGCTCAAAAGCGTCTCCAGCTTCACTGTCGCCCTCGCTCCCACCGCGATTTGAACCCGCGTTGCGCGCTGTCGTTGCCGCTGCAGCCGCCATCACCTCTCCGCGGCTGCAGCAGGAGCGCACCTCCGCCCACGACCGTACGAGATCCCGGGGCTGCGCCGTCGCGATGGCTGGACAGCCCAGCACCAGCTGTACGACAGTATCGTACGACATGTTCATCGTACTGGAGAGGTACATGAGGTGCTCCATAAGGTCCATAGGCTCCAAGTCCAGTACGTCAGGGTACGACAGAACCATGCGGGCCACCTGAAGCAACAAATGGATCCCAGTGCGGAAAACAAAACAACCAATTGATGCTTCAATCCCATGGAAATGTGTACGGACGAGCGTACGAGCAATGCGGCGTGGATGGGTGCGCGTCTGCGGCGTAGGTTTGACGTGCAAGACCGTGTCACAAAAACGTTACTACCCCTTTCCCTCCCTTCTTGACTTCCCTTCCTGGCCACCGCAAGGGACCTCCAATCCTGCGCTCACTCACCGCCAATCGTTCATCCCGCCATTGCGGCGCTCGCCTTGCGTTTCCTTGACCTCTACTCCTCTCCAACCACATCTCCTACCTTCCCCCCAGCCCCTCCCCACTCCCCACATGACACACACAATCATACACACCTGCGCCTCCGCCACGGACAGCACCCGGGTCAGTGCGGTGGTCAGTGACTTGATGACGAGCAGGTCGGAAATGAGCAACCAGGGGTGCTGCCGTACATTTGCCTGCGGTGGGTGGGAAGTTGGACGGTGCGGGATGGTGCAGCATGGAGAGGGGAATCCATACATGGGAATTTTGGATCCGAAAGTAAGAATCCGGGGCGGAAATGGATCCGTACGGACGTGGGTCCAGGAACTGGATTCAGACTTGGATTCCAGGAAGTGGTCCAGGAAGCGGGTTCCCGAATGGCATTTAGGAGTGGATTCGAAATTCAGAGCTGATCATCGACGGCAGCAGGCAGGCCGACAGCGGCAGCATCGGCAATGGCGTTGACAGCGACGGATGCGGGGACGATGGACCCCGTGTGTTTGTAAGGGAAGGGCACAATTTTTGAGTTAATCGCTGCTGCGATGACCCGTGGGTCCGTGGCGGGCGTTGAGTAGGCAAGGGTCTAGGGGGAAGCCATGGATGTGGATACCCCATTATCTAGGGAAGAAGATTTGTGGTTACAGATTTAGATTGAGGTTCTGGGCGTGTCTTGCGTGTGGGATCGGGTTCGGGGTTGGCGAAAGAAGTCCCGTACCTGCACGTCATCTGCTGTAAGCTTGAACAACGACTCCACAGATGTGAGCCAGAATGCCAAGTGCTCCTCATCGACTTCAGCGAGGTCTGGGTATTCTTTCAAAGCCTGCTGCAGGGCGGCGTCTGATATGTCGGGTATAGCCTTGCGGATTGCTTGAACGGCGTCTTTGTTGTTTCGAGTGATGACGGAGTACCGATCATAGACGAATTGTTTTGGTGTTGATACAGGTTGAAAGACAGGTTTCGCGCGTTGTCGGCGCTGTTGCGGAAGGAGTTTTCCACCACAACGTAGCAGCATCCCGAACCACAAATAGGAAAAGTTAACGCAATACAAATTTGTTTCTTTATTTATATAATGAATCGTATAGTTTCGTGTAGAGGTTTTTGCGCAATCTTGGACTTGTAAACCAGCTCAGTAAGACTTCCTGAACATGCTGTTCCCTTAGTGTAATATTTGCATGTATTCTGCACAGTTATTTTTGCGTACCTTGTATTGATCATGTTCCATACATAGTTTATGCGTTTCGGGGGTGTTGTAGGCACTAACGATTCTCAAGCAGAACCCGACGTCCTTTAGCTTGGCGCCTGGCCCTGACTTGCAGCCATGTCGCTACTTTATCATCAGCGGGTTGCAGGAGTGGCGGGCAGGTTTGCAGGGGGGCGTGGTCGCAGTCGAGCATTTGGAGCCCGCTGTTCTGCTGCGTCGCGTGTTGCCACTATCGCCAGGAAGGCGCGGACAATAGATGATCTAGTGGACCCAGCACAAATCGGTGCTACCGGATCTGCTTCTGCAAGGTTTCAGGTGCGTCCTCAACCATCCTAGCCTGAGCTGTACTTAACACGAGTGGTAAAGCATGTTTCCCGCTTAACCGGTAACTTGTGTTGTGCTACTTCATTTTTGAGTCATCTAGCTCCGCTGCTGCGCAACATCCGCGAATGGGCTCTCCGCCGCAACCCCCTTCCGGTTGCCCCCTCCAACTGAGGGCTTCATCTTTCCCGCGGCATGCAGATCCTGCCGCAATACGAGTCTCTCCAGTCCTACATGCTGCTGCCCGTGGAACAATACTTCGTACTTGATCCAAAACAGATTTCTCACCTTGGGGGCAACCGCTTCGTCCTCACCGTTCCCCGGATCAATGTAAGCTGCGCTGGGTTGATAGGGGATTAGGTGGAAAGCAATGATCAGCTCCCACCGCGAGAAGGTGGAGGGCGAGAGCCCAAGGCGAAGGATAGAGATAAAGGCCCAGGAAATGTCTGGGTCATTCACAATTCCGGAAGTGCTGAGGGGTTGGCAAGGTCTTTGCAATACAGGAGAAGGGTAACAACAACAGCTGTCCTTTGCAAGTTGGGCCTTCTCTATGTGATAGGGGCACACAAAACGAAAGAAAGTATGCCATGCACCTCTTTCTAAGACACTGGCGTGCTGCTGTTTGTGTTGCTGCTTTTGCTTCTGCATTAAAGATTTTCAATATTTGGCTCGAGGCCGTGGTGGAAGTCAGCGTCACAACGTACCCAGGGACCCGTAGCAGCAACGGCCTAAACGGTAATAACGGCGGGGCCGGCGGGCCACGTGTGGTCCTGCGCGCTGAGAACTGCCGCATCACCGGTAGCGAGGCGGTGGAGTCCTTACGACTAGACCAGCGCTTTGCCATGTGCTTCGTCACAGAGTTGACTTGGAGCGCTATGCCCGTGGTGGCGGCCCCGTCAGCGGTATCCGCATCCGCACCCACACAGGTGGTGGCGGTGTCGGGGACACCAGCAACAGCTACGGCAGGGATGGGAGTTCCAGGCGCATCAGGCGGTGCAGGTGGCGCTGGTAGTGGGGTTGCGAGCACCTCTGGAGTAATGAATGGAGAGATCCGGGCCAGCAGCCAGCTGGACGTGTGGAGCGAGGTATAAGTGGCTGGGTGGCTGGGCTCGGTGCGGGGCTTAGGCTTTGGCTTAGGCAAGGCGGGAAAGTGGGTTGCAAGGGGGAAAGACCCTAAGATAGCCCAGGACGGATGACAGAATGAAGAAAGTGTCAACTGCCATATCAAAGCAGCAGCCGGAAAAGCAGGTCGCCGATAGCGCGGTGCGTGTCCGATGCCCCGCTCGCTTTTCGCTCCTCCCCCTTCCCCCTGTCGGAGTCCTTTGTATCTCCTCGCGCCATCCTCATACTCGTACGCGCGTACACAGATCACTGCCACCTGCACTAGCGCCTGTCCGGGTGCACTTCCAGCTCCTCTCCAGTCCACACACTGGACTCCACTTCTGCAGGTGGTTTCGCCGTTTCACCTGCTGCCTCGTAATGTGCTGGTGGGCACCTGCAACGGAGTGCTGCGAGGGCTGGTGACGAGTCTGCTGCCGCTCTTTGTGCGCATGCTGGCCCAGGATTACCAACGGTACGCCGTGCATCGTTCAATGCTAGTACCAGTCCCTGTGAGAGCTATGGAGGAGGGGGGAACCTTGGGGGAACTATTTTACGCCATTGTTGAATTACTGCGTCCGCGCCGCACGTGAATATTGGCAAGAACTTCTAATAATAGGTAGCGACATGTAAAAATACTTGCGAAGCGTAAGGGGAACAGATGGTGCAAAGGACGGAAGGAATTTTGCGAGGCGCCGGGGGAGCGTGTTGGGGATAAGGCAACTCATGACCTGCAGAATTGCTACCTTTGGGAAGAGTAGATGGTTTCGCGCTAGGCGTTGGGACAGTGTCGCAACCCAAAATGTCCTTTAGTGCTATATTTAATCTTTTGCCCTGGCGGGCCACCTGCTCCTGTGTGCGCCGTGTGATGCGTTGTAGGTGGGCCAAGGACCCAGCCTACCGAACTGAGCGGGCAAACCGAGGGAAGACTACCAGCACCACCACCACTACCTTGGCAGCTCCGTGAAGACGCGGACGGCATGGGACACCACCACCGCTGCCGTCACTATAGCAGGGTGTCTATTAGCCCTGCCCCAGCCCAGTAGTCACCTGTATCATAACCAGCCAGCCAGCCAGCAGAACGTCTTGTGGTGGAGTTTGCCGTTGTACTTGGCCGTACATAATTAGGATTTCCGAAGGGCTCTGGGCGCCTTTCCTGTGACGATAGGCAGGGTGGTAGTGACAGCCGGTGGCGGCTGGAGGTGAATGGAGGATGTATTACCCAATGTGTTTGGGAGGATTTGTGTTTTCGGAAGTTGACCGGAGGTCGTAATACGTTTTGTGCCCTTTTTCAGAGGGACGGTTTGTCTGTTTACTGTGCCTGCCTTTGCTCCATGTGCGTAGCACGGTTAGGGTCTTGCATCTCGGCGGCCAAAAGAACTGGTGTATGTTTGTGAATCTCGCGGTAGGCGCATCACATCTACCGTAATTTTTTCGCGCTCACCTCCTGCGCTCACCAGCTGCCTGCTTGTTCCTCATATAGTGCAATACGAGTCCTTCGAGTTTATGTGTGGCGTTAGATCGCATTTGCATTTTTTGGTTACAAACTGATACAGGGCTGCTAGGAGCCCTGACAGCTGCTGGTGTATGTATGAATGTTGGTCGTGCTTTTAGTGCATACACACTTTGCGACTTGTGTACGGTGTATGAATACAGAGGAGGCATGATGCCCGCCGATGATGCGACAAACAATGTATATGATACTTGGCGAATCACGATGACCACTTACGGACATTCACTGAATATACAGTTTATGCCCACTGTTTGTACGGATATGCGACGGGATGTTAGCGAATGAAGCCTCCAAGGAAATGGTCAACCGCTCTTGACCACCCTGCTGTAAGGATACACACTGCACACATACGTCCGCTGCTTGCTGCTGCTGCTGCGTTCTCGCACACCTGCTCCGCCGATCATGAAGTGCGACGACATATGCCTCGACAAATGTATCACACATAATCACGCAGTACACCTTGATTACTGAACCGACATCACATTCGCTACATCCATACACTTAACCCACGGTTGGACATACATACTGATCGCTACTAGGACAGAGGGGCAGACAGGGCATTGCAACGCATCATGAAATACACGTGCTGCAAGAACAGAACCGGCAGAGAAGCACAACCTACAACAATAAATGGGCCGGGACAACCCTATCAACCCCTTACCTCAACCCCCTTCACTCTAGAGGACCTTCAGGAAACGCCCGCCAAGATGATCACAGTTGCCCCCGGGCCCCCCGCTGTTTAGGCTCGGTCTGGTCGTTGCTGTTATCACCCTCCCATGGCCCCCTTGTCGACTCAGCCAAATAAAGCATTAGTGACGAAGCGTGGTCCCAAGGTATTACCGTACTGCTGCCGTACGCATGTGCTGCTGCTGAAGGTGCGGTTTCAGCTACCGCCATCCTGCTGCGCGGTCCTTCGGAGCTCTGGCACCGTCTAGGGACCTGTCGGTACTGTCGGTCTTCGGCCTGCCGAGTAATCATTAGCCTCAATCCCTACACACACGCGTGCACAAGGCAATGCCCCCAGATGCATTCCCCCTTCCCCCTTGCGCCACACCCCTACAATCCTATCCCGCGTAGCCACGACGTGAAACTGAACCTGAGCCCCTGCCAGCCTGCCTTCCCATGCACCCACCCGCCCATCCACCCACAAGCTGCATGCATCCATCAGTTACCCTAACGATGCCCGTCTCCAGTCTCACAACACCTGCACAACAGAGCAACAGCCTTTAGCAGAGCTTCAATACACTAAGAGAGGTAAAACCTTGCTGGTCCAGCCACGCCACGCCAGCAGTAGCAGCAGCGGCAGCAGCCGAGCCAGCAGACAGGAAAACGTAAATCGCGTGGCCGAAGCGTCCTAGAAGCCGAAGCAGCCCCGGGACTTGGACTTGGGATAATCCAAGTCAGTTCCGCGGCTGCGGGATGCAGCTCGCGCGGCACTGAGAGCCTCGTCTCGGGCAGCGGCCGCCTCCTCGGCCCGCTTGCTGGCAGCCGCCAACTGGGCCTGGGAAGGAGAGGACGAAGTAGGAAAGGCACAAGCGATGAGGCTGGTCGGTTATCCGGGTGCCTTCCTTCCCTTTTTCCGCTGGCTCTTCTTTTTGAACCGACCCACGAACGACGACGCCCGCACGCAACATGGCTCACGACGCGTTCTAACTACAGCGCACATGCACGCGCGTTTCCTGGGAGTTTGAACATGTGCCCACCGCATGGAGTGATACAGATTTCACCAAAACCCCAAACCCAACCATTACTCAGTTCTCTTTCCGCATCCCATAGCTCAACCCACCTATACCCCGACCCGACCCGAACCGTCGTCCTTGGTACGGTTTTCCACAGAAGCCGCAACTCCAAGCCAACCCCAAAGCCTCCTCCACTCCCACCATCCCATCCCAAACCAGCACCACCGCACCCGCAGCCCTTCATTCTCCAATCGCATCCGCTCCATCTCCGCTGCATGGGTCTGCGCCTCCAGCTGCACCCGCTGCGCCTCGAAGGCCGCCGCAGTGGACAGCCGCTCGAACAACTCGCCGCCCAGCGCCGCGTACTGCGAGTGGCAGAACGCCAGCAGCCGAGGCCAGCGCGCCGCTCCCACAGTAGCCCCCACTACGCTACCCACACCTGCCTCCAAGGCCGAGGCGACCTGCTGGAAGCTCCCCTCACGCAGACGGGGATCCTGAGTGGCGGAGAGGTCACGGAGGGAAGCCAGGAATAGAGGCAAGAGAGGGAGGCAGGAAAATACATGAAAATTTGGAGAGGGCGGGCAGGAGGGAGGAGCGAAGGCGCGGGCAGATCGTGCATAAGGTTTTGAGGGCTGATGCTATAACGATTGCGGAAAGGGGAGGGGAAAGGCGCGAGGGAGGGACGAGGGATGAGCAACGTGGTAGGTAACACAGATTAAACCCCGATGGGGCCCACCTACGGGGCTAAAAACCAAACAACAAGCCCATTCGGCAGTGTCCCCCTCGGTGTCATTACCCGGCCATTACCCGCCCATTTCCAGGCCACACAGACACGTCAATCCACAGCCCTAAGCTCCAACCCCACCTGCCCGGCCTTCACCCATGTTCACCTACCTCCCATCCGTCCCTTCTCACCTACCACTCACCCCTCCTCATCCAACCTACCGAATGCAGTTTATTGGCTAGGTCAGCCAGCTGTTTCTCAAGCGCCTCCGCCGCTGCCGCCAGCCGCCGCTCCCTCAGCGCCTCAAAGGCTGTGTTGCAAGCGGCCACGTAGCGCTGCTGGTATCGGGCCTGAAGACCCGGGTCGCCAACTGCCCGGTCCTTGAACACGGCGAAGGCCGCAAGCAAGGAGCGCTGCGAGGTAGGGTACCGTGTACGGCGACACACGGAACTGGGTGAGTGGGTGGTTGGGGCGGAGGAGAGGGAAGGGAGGAGGGAGGATAGGAGCGCGGAGCGGCATCTGCCAGACCCATATACACCCTGCACGGGAGGTAGGTATTATATATCGTATGCACAGCCAGCTCAGCCCAGTCCCACCTGGTGCTCGTCCACAAGCGCTTGCTCGTCCGGAGGTGTGTTGGGGTTGAAGGCGGCTCTGTAGGCGTCCTCCGCTGCGTAGCAGGCCCCCCGGCACTCCGACTCGGCCACGCTCTGTGACGAGCAAACCAATATCGACACCAGCACCGACACGACACGGCGTCAGCAGCAAAACCACCGCAATGAGGAGGGGAGAGGAGAATACAGGAAAGGGTCATGGTTGTGAGGATTGGGTGGTGGAGATAGTGAAAGAGATGGCTGGGCGGGCGCGCGGGAGAGCTAGCGCGAGGCGGAAGGGGAAATGTAGTTGGGGGGGAAGAATGTTGGCAGAGCAGGTGGCATGGCATGGCCGCAGCGTTGCTCATCCCTCGATTGATAGAATATATGAGGGAAGACCATGAAGAGAGACACACAGAGACAGACAGAGTGCACAGCTGTACCGCCCTTCCCTTCAGCCAGGCATCTCAACCAACACCTCTCCAAAATCCAAACCCGCCGAATACTTACATGCCAAGCGGTAGATATGGTGGGTACGGCGCCCTGGTTGATGGCCTTGACGTACGCCGCCGCCAGCCCCGCCAGCAGTGGCCCAGTCAGCATCTGGTTTCCCAGCCGCTTGGGCTGGGCTCGCGCGGTGAGGGTGGCGGTGAGCCGGTCCACACCCTGGGATAGGGGTGAAGGGTTGGGACGGTTAGGGGGGTTAAGACGAAGCACTGGCGAGTTAAGCAGATTTTCATAGAAATCAGGGGTAGGGGTGCTGAGGGTGTGAGGTAAAGGGGGTTTGAAGGCGTGAGAGAGATGCGTGGGTGAGAATGCTAGGGAGGGGGCCTCACACATTGCTGTGTGAGCGGGGAACACAGGGGCGGGGTGTGTGTGGTAAAGGACGAATGCATGAAAGGTTGTTGCTGCGTGGAAAAAGGTGCAGGGTTCTGGAGTTCTTCCCCCTCTGCTGCACCGCCCACTCCTCCAGCACCACCTCAACTCAGGCACCACCTGCCCAACCTCTCACCCTCCCACCCAGTACTACTGCCCACCTCTACAAACTCCGGCCTCAGATGCTCTCGCGGCAGTGTAGCTAGGTTCCGGAGCGCCTCTTCGTCCGTCACGGGTCGCACCAGGGTTACGCAATCTCGGTCAGGAAAGAGCGACTTGATGGACTCGCGTATCTGGTCCCGGAGGAGGGGGGAAGGAGAGAGGGACGGAGAGGGACGGTTTGGATTACGTGCAAGGAGACAAAGGAGACAGACGGAGACTTCAACTGCCGATGTCCACAACAGCGGATGGTGGGGGAAAAGACAAGCCAAAAGCAGCTTCCTCGACCTCGTCTCCCTCAAGGACAGACTCGACAGGCACACACGCAAGCCTGTCGCGCACGCATACACATAGATATACACACATACACATTGGTCTGGTCTGGTGGCACCTTTTTGAATACATAGGTTCTGGGTTCGTTCCCTGGTCAGACCCCCGGCATTGTTCGGGAGGTCTAGTCGGTGGACTAAGTTTCGCATGCTGATCTGTCTCTACGGATGTCGGGTGACTGGACGAGGAGGGGTCTACTTGGCAGGACCCAAACCGCCGTCGGTTGAACGGTGTAATCAACTTTCTATATATTTAGTCCATGGCCTCCCGGCTTCGACGGACCCCCCCGCACTCGTGCGGCACTTGTAACTTGTAACACATCGCGGCTAGGGTCATGCCTACACACATATATATATATATATATACATATATATATGTATACAAGTTACAAGTTACAAGTTCCGCACACAAGTCCGTAAAAGCCGGGGGGGCCATGGACGTTGTATTGGTATTGATGCGGGTACGCGGGAGGTCATCTTCATTCTCCTTAGTCCGCTTCAGGGCGAAGCGGAAAAAATTTGGAACCATTTCTCGATTTGTGCGTGTCATCCTTGCGCAGGGGCCATGCTAATCTTCTCTGTATTTTTCCAATTTTAACATTTGTGCCGAAGTATATAGACGCACACACGCAAAGCCACGCAAACACGTGCACAGCACGCATGTCAGGGGTGCAGGTCAGTCGCACCATGTTTTTCAGCTCCACTGCGGGCCCCTTCCCTGGAGTGGGCATCAGGGCTGTCTCCAAATAGTCCCGCGGGGCTTGCTGCGTCACCAGACAGGGTTGAGAGGGCGAGCAAGCTCTGACGTCAGCAGTGCGGGTGGGAAGGGTTGCGCTGAGGAGGCAGCGGGAGGGCCCAAGGGCAGCGGGTGTAGTGGGGAGGTGAACACGGGGGATACATCATCAACCCCCGAAATGGCCCCCGACCTCATCCATCCCCCCCACATCCTGGCGCCCCGCGACTCCCCACATCCGTCCAATTACCTGGAACGCGATCAGCAGTGTTCCTCTTCATGAAATCCTTACCCTCACCCTTACCCTCACCCCTACCCTTACCTTCACGCCCTTGTACTCCAGGTCGTAGTAGAAGTCACGCAGCAGCCAGAGGAAGGACGGTGTGAATTCGGACAGCGCAGAAATATCCTCCAGACCTGAAGGGTAATGAGGTAGAAATGTACGTAAGTATGTGTTCGAGATATCTGTAACATGGCGCGCGTGGGCGTTCCTGCGCGCGCCAGCGCACACGGAGCCGTGTGACTCTGCCACTTGGGAGTTCCTGCGGCTTCATGCAACAGACATTCCGTGCATTGGTACCACTCTTAACTCTTCTTGTCACTCGTGTTGAGTGACAGGATAATAGTTTTCCTTAGGCGTTTTTATCCTGTTTTGACAGCCCTAGGCTACCGGCCCTTGGGGCCCCTCAGGACCCCAGGTTATGCCTTCGGAGAGTAACGCCGCTCCAGAAGGTGAAACGCATGCACACTCACACATATACACTACCAAGCCACCCACAGCGCGCACGTTTTCCGCTGCCGGACATAAAGCAACGCACGCCCTACATGCGGTAGCAACAGCACCAGACAATTGTTTCCGGAACTCCGCGCGAGGGATATGTCGTAATAATACAGGCTTTATACAGTATGCTTCTCTACTTCACGTGACCTCACCTCCGTCAGCCTCTGTCTTCTTTTTTGAACCTGGAAATGTAGGGCCCCCCAACACACAGGGCCGGACGGACCGGATTAAACAGAGGAGGAAAAGGGGAACAGGGAGAACCCGGGGGAGATGTGGGAAAGGCAAAAGAAAGCTGAATGAGGTTCCACTTCGTCCCCATCCCGCCAGTCAGCAGCGAGTACACGAAAGTGCGACCTGCCCCAGGCAGGCAGCTACCTAACTCTCTCTCCGGGCTCCCGACTACCCCCCACCCGCCCACCCATCTGCCTGCCTCATCAAACTTACGTGGCCGCCCCTCCAACCCCAGGATGCTGCACAAACTACCCAACCCCCAGCTACCCTCGCTTTCCTCACCGCTGTCCGATTCCTGCTTCTTCTTGCCGCTACCTGCGAAACGACAAGGTTGGAAAGGGGAGAGGTGCACGGAACGCGGAAGACGGAACGTTCGCTTTAGGGGAGGTGAACACAGCAGTGCAACCGCAACATGCAGTCGAGCTTCACTTACTTGCCCACGCAACTGGATTTGGCCGATCCCACGTGCCTTAGCATCCAAAGCCCGGCTTGTCACTATAAACTAAAACAAGCTCGACTTGCTGCCCTGCCCCTGCCTTGCTTCCCGGTGCTTCCAAGGAATTGAAAAAGTCCCACCTCGCGGCCCCCCGCGATTCCACCTCGCAGTCACCCTCCTTATCGTCTCCTCCCCTTTCCCCCGTCCTCACCATCCGACTCCTGCCTCTTCTTGCTCCCGTTCAAATTAACTGCCATGTTGGGGTATAAAAGCACAATGAGCGAACATGCATCAAAAGCGGCACACGCACGCAGCACACGTACGCAAGCTCGTGGCCGATTGGGTTGGTTAATTGACAGGTGCGGCGGTCCTTCGTACGGCAGCCGCCATCACCACCGCCATCCGCGTGACGGCCCGGCCCACCATTGCGAAGGGAGCCTAGGAAATCTGCGTAACGGCAACACCCCCTCGGAACGTACCGGGTGCCGCCATATCGCCGTTCGATGCCGCCGCGGTTGCCTGTGGCGCCCCTCCGCCACTGGCGCGCACCCGGATCCGCCGGGTTAGCTCCGTAACCAGGGCCAGACGGTCCAGAGCTGCCTCGTCAATACCGCCCATCTGGTGATGGAGGTGGTTGTGGTGGGTGAGAGACAGGGAAGGGGTGCAAGGTCGCGAGCGTCAAATTTTCGTAAATGAGTAGACGTAAGGGTTAGGGAGTTATCGGGTTGAGCTTGCCACCAGCAACACAATCACTACCACTACCACAACTACTATTACCACTACTGTCATTATCACCACCAATGAAGGAGTCTAGGTCGAGGCTGTCGCCTTCCCGCCAGCCATGGAACCCCGTCACGTGAGCTCCCCTTCCCCGATTCCACTCCTGAAGTGGATGCACTGACTGCACTCGCTTGGCCGTCGGCAGCTAATACTTACATCCTTGCACATGAACCCGGGGCCGTTTTCTGCTCCTTTTCCTGGGTACGGTTTCCCCCCTCACCTGGTTATACACAAAAAGACTGGACAGAAGCACTGCCAGACTGAACAGCGACACACCATCCTGCGTGGTCTGCACCAGCCGAGAAACACCAAAAAGAGGGACAGGTTTAGCAGCTGCCAGCATCAACCGCAACAGCAAGGAATAGGAAACGGCACAGACAAAACCACCAAAAAAGCACGGCAAGGAGTAGGAAACGGCTGTGCTGATATCGTACCTGATCGTACGCATCAATGCCCTCCGTGTCGACCAGCACCTACAAACGCACAGACAAAACGCGCCTTGAAGGAGCCACGGCGGAGCGTTCTTGGGGACGAACAAAGAAAAAAACCCAAATCATGCAAGTCATCAGACAGGAGGCCTCCAGCTCATACGATAGTCCTGGCGCATATGGTGATACCCTCGCACTGAAACATCATCATCATCATCATCAGTAGCCCGAGAGGGGCAAATAGGACTTCGGTAACGCGTTACGGCTATGGTAGCATTACGGTGCTGGGTGGCTCCTGGCCCGACGAGTGGATAGGAAAGGAGTTTACGTGTGGAAAGGAGCTCAGGCGCTCAGGCGTTATTGTGGTGGCCTTCACGTGCCCGTCATTGATTCGTGTGTGAAACATGGTGGATGTACGAGTAGAGTAGGACTCGTGATGAGCGAGCTACCCTTAATTGCCACGGCTCGCCACTCGTGCCAGTCATTTCGGAATGACCTCTTGTAGCGTCAGGTGGCGTAAAGTGGTGGTGCCTGGTACGTATCAGCTTGGAAAGGGGAAAGGAGTCCGCGCCCAACACGCACAGCAAAGAAACCCTCATCGCCGCCACCTCAAACATGTTGCTAATTGCTCCGTTCACACAGGCTCCACCCAATCTTCGTCATCTTCACCTCAATCTACTCATGCATTTACGCATACATCTAAGTTTTACCCAGTTACCAACCCTTACTGTACGACCCATCCACTGACCCTCACAGATAGCCAGCCACCCACCAGGTAGTAGTAGCTGCCGTCTAGAGCGGTGCGTCGAATGGGCTGAGACCAAAGCCAGAGCCCTAGGCAGCAGACACCGGGAACACAGGACGTTGTCTAACTAGCTTGCATGGACGCTCGTGTCGGTGGGAAGCGCGGAATGCTTGTCGAATTGCCATGTGCAACATGCTCCAGAACCACTGCAAGCCGATAGCCCACGTGATTTCCGTGTTGGCGGTTCGAGCCTGGGGTTAGTGTGTTGGCCATGCGCAAGGATGCATACGGTGTCCGTGCCAACGGAAGGTCCTTTTCTATGCATGGTAACACTGCTGCGCATCTGTGTAAGTAGTAAGATAGATTGCGTCGGGTTTTGTGAATTGCCTCAACAACCCCAGCGGGGCGGGCAGTACCTTTGGTGCAGGGCCGATAAGAGCTTGCAACCTCAAAACCAGCGCCTGCTGCCCCCAGCAATTGATTTAGAATGTAGCTCTTGCCGGTCCTTGCACGACCGCAAACCGAGACAACTGCGATGGGGGCCTTGATACGCTTCAAAACGGCAATAGCGTCCTCGCCGAGCGAAAATTGCCCTGTAGATGGATCATGCTGTACAAGCTGGACTGGTTTCCCATCTTGTGGATTAGATGATGACTTGTTTGAGGAGGGCTTTTGAGTGCCGTTTGGCTTTTCGCGGGTTCCATCGCTCCCAGCCATCCCGAGGTTGGTAAGCAGGCTAGCCAACAGCGATAAATGCAAGGTGCGCAAGTATGTCACGCGCCTTGGGAGAGAAGTGCGCGTTTGAAATCCATCGGCAAAGGGCCGTTTCTACTTGAGCTGTTGGAATTAATCAAGAACCGACGAAAAGTGTGAGAAGGAATGTTTTTGATGTTGTAAAAGAAGGCTAAGGCATGCCGGCCGGAAACACGATACTAGAGCTGGCCTTAATTTGAAATGCATGACACTTCAACGCCGCCGTACTAACTGAACCTCCCTTTAAGCTCGGATGCGCTGTGCTTTCGGTGCAAAATTTCACGCCCATGGTGTAATATTATCTGGTATCTGATATTCATGGATTTCTCATGGCAGTCGAAACATCATTTGCCTAGATTGTCAACACCCGCCCAGCGCGCGGAGCTGTCCAGCCGCTTCCAAGACCTGCCTTTGCCATGAGTAAACGAAGAACAGAAACGCCGTTGTTTTTCAAAAAATTATCTTTTTATGGTAGTGGGTGATGCGATAGTTGGAGCGAGGACTTTTGCACCTTCCTAAAGTTTTCTTCCGGCAAAATTTGGCGAAGTCAACCGTTATGTTTGGCATATTGTATTTTGCGAGACTACCTTTGATACCTGACCGGTGTGGCACTCTAGTACTCTCGAGCACTGAATGTCGTCATTGGCCCGACCGGCGACACCCTCTAGAACCAGCACGACTATGACCAAAGCAGAGAGATGCAGATGACGCCTTACCTTGCCAAGGCCATTCTAACAAGAATGCTGAAGTTCTGTGCGAGGATGCGCTTAGTTATATCTTAAGACAGCTGACGCGATGGTTTGGTGTTCACGTATTCCAATTGTGCGAAGCTAGAGGTCGATGTCGTCAACCAGTTTCAATCACTGTCGGAGTAATAAAGGCAGCATACATTCCTTTGCATACGATGTCCAGCCAGACGTGTACCCGTCAGACGGCAAGCAACCAGTAATTCACATGGCGAAGTATAAGCATTGGATGGCCGAGCAAGTAGACAGGATGGAGGTGCTCCCGCATATCACACTGTTAATCCCGCGTTTTGGGCATTGGCGGCTAACAGAGCAGCACGTAAGGGATGGCGTTATATACCTGCTGCGGCACTGATAGTCATATCGAGGATGAGAAGCACATTTTGCTGGACAGTCCGGTGTACGACAAAATCAGATCTGATCTGGATTTCCCACGCTTCGAGCACATGAAGGACGCTATGAAGTGGGAACCTGAACGCCTGGCAAGGATGCTGGAACGGATATGGTCCCACCGCAACTTTGTCGTTCCCTTTGGTCGCTCGTATCCTTTATCACTTGCTTTGTTTGAAGTGCGAAGTAGGATGGTGCTTTTAGGCGATCTGGCAGCCCTTGAGCCCTCGGCTCGTATTAGGGCGGTTTGCAGGTACGGGGAACGCACCCACGACCATGTAACACACACATTCCTTACAAAACACCCATGCGGCCAGCATGGGCTGTTTTAATCAACAGACCCATCTACTTGGGTTCGCTGGCGTGCCCAGTGTTCCTAAGTAAACGAATTATAAACAATTGTTCCTAGTTATAAACGATTTACTTAGCAGGACGCAAATGAAGCCCCACTTGAAGCCGTTCTACCTGCTCCATGCCCGCGCAGCACATACAAGTAACAGCAGACACTCAACAGAGTGTTGCTGCGGGTTAAGAATAATGGAAAGCTGGGTGAACCATTCGAGTTGCACCAAGGGGTCAAGCAAGGGTGTCCCCTTAGCCCTACCCTGGTTGGTCTTTCTATTGAGAGTCTCGCTGACTACCTGGGTGCGAAGGATAAGAAAGGAGCGTCATACATGTGTGTCTCCGACTGCCTTGATGCGGATGCTCTGCGAGTTCCCTTGCGATTTACACGGATGACCTTAGTCCATTTGCCACTAGTCGTGAGCGCCTAAACAAGACTTTGGTGCTGTTGTCAGTTTTTTGCGCTGCATACGACATGAAGGGGAATGTGAGTAATAACAGTGAGCTGGTGGTATATCATCGGAAAATCTCGCAGCATAAGAAAGTTGCAGGAACACACATGGATGTATGGAGGGATGGAGAGTGGGATGTATGGACGAAGGGATGTATGGAAGAATGCATGGAGGCGAAAGGGTAGTGAGGGGGGAAGGCGACGCGGTCGGGAGAGGCGCCGCAACGAGGTAGTGAGGGGCCCCAAAGTTTAATGATTATTTTATTAATAGCTTGCCCAGCCCGCCTGAGTAACATGGGGTACTGGTGCCGCGCTGCCAGCCCAACATTTGCCCACCCAGAACCCCAGAATATGATCAGTTGTGTGCCCGAGAAATCCTACTGTATAACAGCAACCATGTGTTTTTGTTGGTTGGAGCTTGCGGCTTCCGCTTTCCGACACATTCTCATGAGACCCTTGGCTTGCTTGCCTGAGCTGTATAGGCTGGAGAAGTTTGCAACATTAAGTCCAAAGAGGGGACTAGGTGTATCCAAAGGGGCTTCTTCTCCATGTCCCCATGCAGCCGCCTTGGAGGGCGTGCACTGGATGTCCAAATGGATGCGACGACTGTCGTGCCAAAGGCTAGGTAGCCATACAATTATGCTGTGTCAGCGCAGAATATAAGCAGCGACGCATGGCATCAAGGCACTTTGGGAAAGTTCCACGTCCTGTTCCAGCGACAAGAAACCTCGTGCAGCAGCATCGTGCAGAGGTGAGCTCCATAGAAACTTTACAGCCTATGGCCTCTTCACCTTTATTGTGACGTTCCACTGCAAACCGAGCATGGCTCCTTAATAAAACTTCGGCAAAACTGAAGCGGTTAGTACTACAACGTGCTCTCCGTGAATTCTATTCAGACTGAGTCATATCAGTGCAGCGTATTCAATCCTTCAGACGAATTCTTTGCATTGCCGGAGGTGCTGCGGACCACCTTATTGTCTTTCCGTGTCACTTTTCCTTACTTCCTTTTTTTCCGTTATTCGTGTTTTTTGGTTTATTTAGGATAGAAGACGGGATCAAGTGCTTAACAAAATTCATCCAACATTTGTAGCGTAGTCCCTGGTGCCTAGCATGTTGTCGCCGGTGGCCGCAAGAGCTGTCAGTGGCCGCTACTCCTCCAGCGGCCTAGATGATATCTGGGCAACACACAGTCGTCAGAGTGATGAAGAACAGCAAGGCTCGCCAGACGAAAAGCAAGCTTATTCGGGGCGCTACCTGTTCTGGTGCATCCTTGGCTACTCATTAAGCTTCATCGTTTTCGGGTCCCAAGTCAGCATTTTAGGGCCTACAATAGCCGCTCTTGCAGAACGGCTACACGTTGATGAGCCAGACCTCAGCCCGTTGTTCACCGCGTTGGGCGTCAGCTGCATCGTCAGCGGCACGCCATCAGGATGGCTCGTGGACCGCGTGCCCACGCATCATGTACTTGCAGGATCCCTCCTAGTTGAAGTATGTAGCCACTAACCCCCCGTCTAAACCCCCGCATGTTTGGACGCACATCCTGCCTCCTGTTTTAAAAGTATTGCATCCGTGCAATCCAGCAGCTGTTGTCTCACCACAAAGCAATCTAAACCCTTTCCTTCTCGCTTCGCACTGTACAACTCTTTTGTGTTGCATTCTCATTTCCTCCTCTCCCATTCACCCAGTCCCCCTCTCCTACCTTTCCTCCCCCCCTCCCCCTCCCCTTCATTCCTAACACGACTGAAACACGTCGTAACCCGGCGTAACCCGGCAGGCGGTTGGTTTCTCTCTCGTGCCGCTGATGCCTTCAGTTTGGTCGTTAACAGCGCTTTACTTTGTAGTTTGTTTCTCGTACAACTTCACTAACTCGGCGGTTTTTACCAGCTTGGCCTGGCTGTTCCCCAAACGGGCTGGTCCCGGCATCAACTTGGTGCTGGCCATGTTCGGGCTGGGCTCCTTCTTCATACCGCTGGCTGCTCAGGTACGTTTTGCGTGCGTGCGTATGGGTGTATACTTGTATAGTATGTATGTATGTATGTATGTATGTATGTATGTATGTATGTATGTATGTATGTATGAATGCGAACTCAAATCAGTGTGACATTCCTGGAGTCTGCTCGTGTCTGTACATGGTATCGGTACGAACCCCCACACCCCCAAACCCCCCC